CTAAGTTTTTTCTCTTTATTGTTCTTAAAGAGAAGACGTTTTGGAGTTATCATTCTTATCTGTTAATACAAGGGGTTTGCAGAATAATATAAAAAGAAAAGCTTTATTTTTGTTTGCTAAAGAGGCAAGAGCGGATTTCATTTTTCTTCAGGAATGTCTCTCATGTTTGGAAGATGAAACCTTGTGGAAATCCCGATGGGGCAACGATTTATGGTTATCACATGGTTCAAACAAATCAGGTGGAGTAGCTACATTAAAAGACATCTTCAAAGGTAAAATTTTAAATGTCAAATCTAATTTCATTCCTACATTTGGTTGATTTTCTTGAAGGAGTTGGAGGACGCTATGTTATTTCTATGGAGCAAATTCCATCAGCAGAGGTTATTTTAGGAGGAGATTTTAATTTGGTTTGGTCCCCTCAGCTGGACAGATGTCCTTCAAGACTTAGAAATGGACAAAATCTTCTTATGGACTTTTCTAACAGACTGAATTTATTGGACAATTGGTGACGTCATCATCCCTCCAGCCGTCAGTACACCTGGAGTAAGAAAACTTTTTCTGCTCCATCTAGAATTGACTTATAGCTTATTTCAGAAAAACTGGAGAAACAAGTAACAGAGGTAAAAAATGTCCCCTGCAGTTTTAACTGATCATAAAACCATTTATTTGAAATTAAATCTTTCCAATAAGGAGAGTAGAAGAGTGTATAACTACTGGAAACTTAACAACTCTCTACTAAATAACACAGAACTTACATTATGTATCCAAAAACTAATCACACAGTGTTGGACAATTGCTCAAAATAAGAACCAGTTTGGGAAATATTGGGAACTACTCAAATATGAAATGAGAAAATATGCGATCCAATTTAGTAAAAGATTAAAACGTAAAAAAAGAGAAAAGTTAGAGCAATTAATTAGATCCCTCTCAAACATTACTGCCATTACATCAGATGATGAAGTTCTTGTAACACAACTACAAACTTATCAAGAAGAATTAGACGAGATATATAAAGAAAAAGCACGTGGTGCTTTCATTCGATGTAGATTAAAATGGATTGAGGAAGGTGAAAAAACAGTAAATACTTTTTTAATATGGAAAAAAAGAAACGGCACGGAAATCACTAAATATAAATGATAATGTAACTGAGGATTACTCTGTAATCTCAAAATATGTCAGATTTTTATAGAGATCTGTATAAAAATGATGACTGTATGGATTATTAAACTCATTAGTAGAGGTAAACAAAGTGAATGACTCTAAAAGAGGAATGTGATGATGCACTTTGTATTGAAGAAATAAAATGGGGCATCAGAAACATAAACTCTAACAAGTCTCCTGCCAACGACGGCTCGACCTCAGAATTCTGTCTCAGATTCTCGTCTGAAATTTCTGAATTTCTTCTGGCAGTTTACAGTGAATCTATTAACAACGAAGAATCACCGACATCGATGAAACAGGGTCTCATCACTCTGATTCCCAAACCAAATAAAGACCAGTTAATAATAGATAATTGGCGTGGTATCACTTTA